CCTAAAGAGAAAAATAGCTAGCTTTGGAAGAACAGGGCAAGAACTTTTCTTCAACATTCATCTCTTTGTCCAGAAATGTTACATATGAACGATGCCCATTCTCTTTAAAAAGATAAAAATCTTTTTCAAAGGTTTTGAGTATACTTTGTATGAATTCTATTAGAATAGAATATATTCCATCTCAGACACTTCTCCAAAATAACTTGAAAGGTGTATGGCATTAAAAAATGTGTCTTCTGAAACTGTTGCCTTTTACCACTGATAGAGGATCAAGCATGCCAATCTTTTTACTTGCTTCCAAATGAAATTTCTTCCTGTTGTCTTTTTTTATTCCAGATCCCCATTTTCTTAACAATAAGGAAATGTCAGATGTTACATTCCTTGTAGAAGGAAGACCTTTTTATGCACACAGAGTGTTACTATTTACCGCATCCCCAAGGTAAATTTATAACTAAATATGGCCAAACTAATATGAGTATTGGGGAAAATATTTGGTTTGGAATTATTTGAGTTTGCATAAGAGGAACTTGCTGTGGAAGGCTATTTCACCAGACCTTTTAGGAGGTAGATACATTATACTATGGGATGGGGCAAGTTTGGGACACAGAAGATGACTTGGGTTAGAAAAATCTGATTGAAGTGAATATGAGAGAAAGCCAAAAAAAACCCACCAGGTAAAATATATGTTATTTTTACCATTCATTTTGAATGCCAAGGAAATAAAAGTAAAAATTATACTTCTTATGTTTCTCTGTGCTGAAGTAGGGGGTGCCAAAGTCATAATTTGCTAAGGATGCAAAAAATCCTTGGGCCAGCCCTGCCTGTGAAACATATAATACAGTGATGTCAGGAAACTGATGGGCTGTACCATTGAGAATGTAAAGGGAGAAACTAGAAATTAGACTGTTGTTTTGGTGGCACATAAACATGCATTTTAACTTCTTTGTTCAAGCCTGAGAGATCTCTCTTAGGGGAAAAAATATTCCTTTGGGGATTCCGAGTAGGGCCGCCAAGTAGGGGCGGGTGGCGGGTAAACCCCCGCTTTGGAGGCCCAATTTCCGCCACCGCGGAATCGGGCCCCGGGGGGAACCCTGCCCCCCAAAGCGCAGCGTGGGTGCATCACAGAAAGTGACGCAACCACGTAGATCACATTGGGGGCGCGGCCCCAAAACTCTATGGTTTTCCCTCCAATGATTGGGGCCACACCCCCAACGTGCTCTACGTCGTGTGTCACTTCCTGTGACGTTCTGGCAGCGTGCACGCGTCCATCGGCAGCTCCCGGACCCAAGCGATGCTCCCCCGCCGATGAGTCCGAGCGACTTGGCAACCCTAATTCCGAGGCCATCAGTCATGGCCTTTTCATGAACTTATTCACCTTCTATATTTAGTGGCTGACTAGAAGGAGCAAGGTCCTCTCTGGAGTGGTGCCCTCCTTACAGAACTCCATGACTGTGGAGGCCTTCCTGACCTACTCACCATTTTCCTGCTGTCTGTCTGCATAAGACATTCCAGCTTGTCAGGGCTTTGGTTAACTGATGCTGTTATTTTTACTTCTCTTGGCTGTTTTGACTGCCGTGTTGGTTGTAGATGGGTTTCTTTGTTTTTAAGTTGTCTAATTATTCCATTGCATTTCCCAGGCAGTTTTCTTTCTGCTATATTCTTAATTTAAGACAAATTGGACAGCTTCACTAAAACATTTTAGTTCTTGGGCAACAAATGCCTTTAATGCTGAATTTGCCTGAAATCATTTTAAAGTTTTCTGCCCGCCAATATATATTTACTTAGGTAAGGCTGTAAAAGATTTAAAATGTGCAAGCACCAATGTAAATACGTCTATGCTACTGGGATTTTTCTAGCAAAACATATAGGTCTTGTGGTTTTTCAGAGTTACTGTCTCACTCAGGTTTCCTGTTGGCTATAAAAAGTTTTCTTAGCCTTCTGCTGTGACTTTAACAGAGGTTTCATATGCAGAAATCAGCAAGCAAAAGTTTTCATGACGTGGAGCTAAACATCACCTGCCAACTGTTGCAAATCAAACTACCATTAATGGGCTAGCTTCAGCAGCCATTTCAAAAAATTGGCACCCTGCTTTTTTTTTTGCATTTGCATTTTAAACATCTGACATAATTTCACATTTTACATTGACATAACCTGTTTGCCCCCAACTTAAGAATTTGTTTGCTGTCAGTTATTTTTCACAATCTACCTTACTATATCATCATAACAAAAACATTGTCTTTGCCTGGTTTTGCCTAGGTTTAAAGCCCTGTTGTCCAGCAAACCGGTATCCGACAGCACTTGTATTGAAATCAGCTATGTGAAGTATCCCATTTTCCAGGTAAGAGCTGAAAGCCTGAGGCTTTCTACCTAATTCAGAATAAACAGATGGTTTAAAGAGTCAGTCAGCAAAACTTGCACTCTTGTTTAAATATGAGCATTTCAATAAGTTACCCCTTGAAGCTAAATCACATATGAATACTGTTTATCTGTTTTATGGCCTACCACCATATCAGCAGACCATGAGATAGCTAAATGCCATTCATGTGTAATCCATGTGATAGTGCAACTTTGTGTGTGATTGGTACATAGCTAAAGAAGTTGGAACTGTACACCAGGATCCCTCCAAATCTGCAAAGAACAACTGCATTCTGCAGTCTATAAACTATGAAAACTAAGCAAATTGCAGGAGCCAATAGCTACGCAGGACCCTGAAGTATCATAAGGAAACCTGCTTGGAACTGCAACTGGCTTCTGAAATTTTCCCAGGCCTGCTCATATTGTTTAAGGTCTGACTACAGTCAATGGGGTTAGTAAGAATTTTTTTAATGTAAATACCAAGATTGTTAGGATGCTGAAGGGTATGAATATCTCTCTGGATTTTATAGGTGTAGTTATTCCATTTCCTTGTTGAATCGAGTGACTCTCCAGTAGCCGTACACTCCCCAGTCAGAGCATGTGCCAGTCTCTTGCTTGTCTGTGTGGCAGAAATAGACTATAGTGGTTGACCACATGAACAAAGAATTTATGAGGTCAGCAAGGGAACTCCCATCTGGTGCATTGTGCCTACATTTAGGATGTTCTGCTTGGTCTGCTGCCAAAGTATTAAACCATCCAGATATGCTCTGAAAGGGCTAAACTGAACAAACTGTCTATATCTGTCCAGTAAGAATCCCCTTGCAAGCTTCTTGATTGTCTTAGATTACACAGAAGAAGCTTCACCGCACTTTTTCTGCAGGACTCCAGTGCCTTTTTAATAGCACTGCGACTGGCAGAAGTCCAGCAGATTAATTTTTACCCATTGTTGCAACTACATGCCAAGAAAAGTTTACCTGCTGAATTTCTTACTGCTGTGATTCTGGTAAAGGAATAGGACAACAACATTGCAACCAAAGAGCTGAGTATGCATCATATTCTACCGAGAAAATCTGTACAGAGGCCTGATGATACTTTAATGCTGTCCCAAGACACAAAAGTATAGCTGTGGCACCACCAAATTTTGTCTAATAAGTTTGTTTATTAAAATATTTATATCCTGCTTTTCCTCATGGCTCAACTGGCTTATAAATGACAATTTAAAACCTTATGATTTAAAACATGCACTCCTGCCGGCAAAAGATGTCTTCAGTCTATATCCCCATTAAAAGCCCTGGCAAATAAAATGACCTTGCAGTTGCAGTGCCTCTTAAAATTTTCTAGAGACAGAGTCTGCCAAGAGAGGGAACAACCAAGAGTCTGCCAAGAGAGGGAACAACCAGTAGGTGGCAGCATGAGCACCACAACCGGCTCAGAGGGACTTATGGGAAGAGATAGTTGTGTAGACTTGCAGGTCCTGGACCATAAAGGGTTACAGGTCATAAACGGCACCTTGAATTGAACTAAGAAAGAAACTGGCAGCCAGTGTAGCTGTTTTTTAAGATAGGCAAGCTATGTTCCCATCGGCTAGCCTCTGAAAATAGATGGGTTGCTGCTTTCTGAACCAGCTGTGGTTTCTGGGTTGGACAGCCCAACATAGAGTGCATTACAATAATCCAACCGTGAGGTTACAGAAGCAAGGATCAATGTGGCCGGATTAGCTGAACCTAAGAAAAAAGAGTTGGTGAACCAAATACAGCTGGAAGAAGGCACTCTTGGGCACTATCTCAGCCTGCTTTTCAAACAGCAGGGCTTGGTTCATGAGCAACCCCAAACTCTTAATCCGCTCTGCAGATGCCAACTCCACTCCATCCATTACAGGTGGAGCCAGTCCCTGTAAAAATCAGGCTTCCCAACCAGCACCACCTTTGTCATGCCTGGTTTCAGCTTCAGCTTGTTTTGCCTTCACCACCTGGCACAGTTCTTTCCTCTCTTCCAATCTGAAACAGTGTTGTTGTGCGATAACTTCTAAAGCAAAGATTGCCCTAATGATAAGCAAATGGGGCACGGTAGAATGGGTGGAGAGAGGAATCTGCAAATGCCATGCAGTACTGTATCTACTTCTTTTTGTTTTCAGCTTATTATGCAGTATCTCTATTATGGAGGTGCAGAATCGCTTCTCATTAAAAACAATGAAATAATGGAGGTAAGTGGCATTTTTTTAAAATCAACAAGTGATTAGCTACTTTTAAAGATACAAAAAAAACCCTGTATTCAAATCAATAGTGAATTTCTGCAGGCTGCTGTTTTTATTATTTCTTCTCTTGCAGTGTCAAGTAACGAATGGTTGTAACCTCCCATTACATAAAGAAACAATTAAATAATTTCCAGAATATCTAGTAAATATGTAAAAGTAATAGTAGAGGAGTTAAACAAGGAAAAGTTCATTCACACAGCTCAAAGGAAAAACCATAGGCAAAATCCTTCACTTAGGCTGTGGTCACACTGGTGGCTTGGCACAATATGGTGCCGCCTCTAATTGTACCAGTTTAAAACAAGACCTGGAGCTGACTGTGGCTCAGATCATGAGCTACTCATTGCAAAATTCAGACTTTAACTGAAGAAAATTGGGAAAACCACTAGGCCATTCAGGTTTGACCTAGATCGCATCCCTGATGAATATACAGTAGAGGTGAAGAATAGATTCAAGGGTCTAGATTTGATAGATAGAGTGCCTGAAGAACTATGGTTCATGACATTGTACAGGAGGCAGCAATCACCACTATCCCAAAGAAAAAGAAATGCAAGAAAGCAAAGTGGCTTTCTGATGAGGCTTTACAAATAGCAGAGGAAAGAAGGAAAGCAAAAGGCAAAGGCGAAAAGGAAAGATTTACCCAACTGAATGCAGATTTCCAGAGAACAGCAAGGAGAGATAAGGAGGCCTTCCTGAATGAACAATGCAAAGTAATAGAGGAAAACAATAGAATGGGAAGGACTAGAGATCTTTTCAAGAAAATTAGAGAAATAAAGGGAGCGTTCCATGCAAAGCTGGCCATGATAAAGGACAAAAACAGTAGGGACCTAACAGAAGCAGAAGAGATTAGGAAAAGATGGCAAGAATACACAGAAGAACTATACAAGAAAGACCTCGATGTCCTTGACAACCACGACGGTATAATCACTGACCTCGAGCCAGACATCCTGGAATGTGAAGTTAAATGGGCCTTAGAAAGCATTAGTAACAACAAAGCTAGTGGAGGTGATGGTATTCCAGCTGAACTATTCAAAGTCTTAGAAGATGATGCTGTTAAAGTTCTGCACTCCATTTGCCAGCAAATTTGGAAAACGCAACAGTGGCCACAGGATTGGAAAAGGTCAGTATACATTCCAATCCCAAAGAAGGGCAATGCCAAGGAATGTTCAAACTATCGCACAATTGCACTCATATCACATGCTAGCAAGGTCATGCTCAAGATCCTACAAGCTAGGCTTCAACAGTACGTGGATAGAGAACTGCCAGAAGTACAAGCTGGGTTTCGAAGAGGTAGAGGAACTAGAGATCAAATTGCCAACATTCGCTGGATTATGGAGAAAGCAAGAGAGTACCAGAAAAATATCTACTTCTGCTTCATTGACTATGCTAAAGCCTTTGACTGTGTGGATCACAACAAACTATGGCAGGTCCTTAAAGAGATGGGAGTACCAGACCACCTCACATGTCTCTTGAGAAACCTGTATAAGGGCCAAGAAGCGACAGTTAGAACCGGATATGGAACAACTGATTGGTTTAGCATAGGAAAAGGAGTACGACAAGGATGTATATTGTCGCCTTGCTTATTTAATATATATGCAGAGTACATCATGCGAAATGCTGGCCTGGATGAATCACAAGCGGGAATTAAGATTGCTGGGGAAAAGATCAACAACCTCAGATATGCAGACGATACCACTCTAATGGCAGAAAGTGAAGAGGACCTTAAGAGCCTCTTGCTCAGGGTAAAAGAGGAGAGTGCAAAAGTGGGCTTGAAGCTGAACATCAAAAAAACTAAGATCATGGCATCTGGCCCCATCACTCCTTGGCAAATAGAAGGGGAAGTCGTGGAAGTAGTGATAGACTTCATGTTCCTGGGATCCCAGATCACCGCAGACTGTGACTACAGCCATGAAATTAAAAGACGCCTGCTCCTTGGGAGGAAAGCAATGGTGAACCTAAACAGCATGATAAAAAGTAGAGACATCACCCTGCCAACAAAAGTCCGCATGGTCAAAGCAATGGTATTCCCAGTAGTCATGTATGGCTGCGAGAGTTGGACTGTAAGGAAGGCCGAGCGCTGAAGAATAGATTCTTTTGAACTATGGTGCTGGAGAAGACTCTTGAGAGTCCCTTGGACTGCAAGAAGAACAGATCAGTCAATCCTAAAAGAAATCAACCCTGACTGTTCCCTGGAAGGCCAGATAATGAAACTGAAGCTCAAATACTTTGGCCACCAAATGAGAAGGGAGCACTCACTGGAGAAGACCGTGATGCTGGGAAAGATTGAAGGTCAAAGAAGACGGGGATGGCAAAGCATGAGATGGTTAGACAGTGTCATAGATGCAACGAACATGAAATTGAGCAAACTTCAGAGGACGGCGGAAGACAGGAAGGCCTGGCGGGATCTGGTCCATGGGGTCGCGAAGAGTCGGACTCGACTGTGCGACTGAACAACAACAAAGTGTTGTGGGGCATATCATTCAAACAGCACACCCTGCTGTGGTTTACCCACATGAACATCCTGTGGTCAAGCATCCACATTACTGTGGTGCCTCAGCCACGGAGCGTGCTGCCAGAAATTTTTCAAAATGCATCTGTGTGCATGTGCATTCATGTGCGCACATAAGTGTGCATGCGTGCACATGTGTATATAGGCAAAAAGATTTTTTAAAATCTCCCTAGTGGTGGGAATGGATCTGCAGGTTCAGACTGCCAAATCTGTTCTGCACACTCTCGCCCACATTCAGACTTCCGGCCATGTGCAATGACTGCACGGGGAACCAAAAACACCACTTGTGATGTGGTGCCTTTTTAACCCGGCTCCAAGTCATCCTATGATGGGATGAGTATGTTGGGGGAATGCCTTACAGATGTGGCTGTGTGACTGCGCCCATTTAATCCGTTGGTGAATAGTACCTATATCGGGCTAAACTGCCAGTTTGAACGTAGCCTTAGTCATTCTCTGACATGGCTTTGGGTTCTTCAGCTGTCTTGAAGTAATGGAGACATGAAGGTAGTGTAAGAAAGCTTTCACTGCCCACATATATACTTTTTCATTCTTCTGACCGATGGTGGTTTGTGGAAAAAAGGTTTTGCAGGTTTTTGAAGTATTACAAAAACCCACCAAATCCCTTTGCCAGATACCATAGGAGAATGGAAACAAAGAACATGTGGACTTTGTGGTCTGCTGCTTCCTTTATCATATGCACTTTAAAGCATCCACAGTGTTTTCTTAGTTGTACTTTTGGCTTGCCATTTATTGACAACAGGTTCTCCTGGTCTGACCTTACCCCGCCATTTATTTATAAAAGAGAAAATGAGTAAGGAGAATTATCTTATTAATGGAGCTCAAGGATTTACTGTAATTCATTTGAGCTCTGTTTTAAGATGGTATGCAGTGCACAAAAAGAAAAGGAATGGGGGTGGAGGAGAGAAACTGAAAGCAGATGCTAACAATCCATTACCCTTCCACTTCCTACTAAGACCCTGCAATAATAGGTTTTTCCCTGATTTTCAGCTTCTGTCTGCTGCTAAATTTTTCCAGCTTGAAGCATTGCAACGACACTGTGAGATCATCTGTGCAAAAAGTATCAACACAGAAAATTGTGTGGATATTTATAATCATGCCAAGGTAAAAGGGAACTACTGATAAATATACATGTGTGTGTGTCTGTGTGTCTACCAATGAGTGCAGCTATTATGGTCAAGTGACACTGCTAAGGAATGGAATCAGTTTACCATATTACCATTATTCAGTTTGCTCTTTACATGTAACGCCATGCTTGTGACCTCCGTTTTCAAGACCAATGAATTCATTGAGTGGACTTAATAAAAACAAAGAATTGGAAGCATCTTCCTGAGAGCTGATGTAAATTGAAGGCTAAGAGTTCTTTCAGCCTCCACTCCCCTTTTGCCCCACCAAGCTGTAACACGGTGACCACGGAAGTGATGGGGCTTTTGTACTTTTGCCATCAACAAAATTTGTGCTTTCTGGAAATTTTATTTTGCACCTGCTGCAGCATCTCTGATCTTTCTGATGACCTCTGCAGCTGTGAGCCAGTAGCCAAAATGAGCTGGTGTTAAGGGTTAGAGTAATCATTCATTCTCACTGCTAGTATGCGACAGCCTCTATCATTATCTGATGCCAGTGAAGTAAACATTTAAGGACAGGAACCATGTGGGCTGGGCCAATTCAGTGAATTCTTCCCAGTCTCATAGTTCTCCTCTCTAGCATGGAAAGACATCCCAGGGAAGCATCTGCCACCCTGAGAAAAGTAGGTGTAAATGGGGTCAGGGTACATGCAACAAAGTCATGGAGTCTGGCTTCTAAAAACATCTAGATTAAGCCAGAGGTCATTTCGGGGGGGATCGCGGGGGATCGCAGTTCCCCCAGGTGAGGTATGGGGGGCGGGGCACGTGATGAAGCTCCCCCCCGCTTCCGGCCGCCCCGCTTCCGGCCCTCATTCAGCCAGGAGGAGGCAGGAGAAGAGGGAGGGTAAGTTGCTTCCTCCCTGCCTCTCCCCACCCCTGCCTGCCTGGGGCCAGGGAGGGCCTTCGCGGGGCTTCCTTGCACTCCCGCCGGCCTTGCAGGTCCACCGCCGGGCCCCTCATGCTTCTTCTTGCCCCTTGGGCATGCAGAAGCAATTTTGCTGTTGAGAGAGGGAGGGAGGGTTCTAGCCGATATCTGTGCAATTATTTGACAAAGGTATTTTAGTTTCTCTCACTTCTTTTCTCCCCATTTCTTCTTCTCAGTTTCTTGGAGTCACAGAACTAGCTTCCTATTGTGAAGGTTACTTTCTAAAAAATATGATGGTTCTAATTGAAAACGAAGCTTTCAAACAGCTGCTGTATGACAAGAATGGTGACTCATCTGGCCAAAATGTACTGCAAGATTTACAGAGGACGTTGGCAGCACGGATCCAGTCGATTCATTTGTCATCTTCAAAGGGTTCCATTGTATAAAGTTCAGGAAGGGTCCAATGTTCGGGAAAAGACTCTGCAAGTGAAATTTTGCTGATGCAGTTTCTTAAATGAATATACAACATTCTTTTTTTCCTACTGGAGTGGTTGTGGGCCAAAGGTGCTGTCATTTACTTGAATCTTCTCTTGGGCAAGAGGTTGTGGTACGTGTGGCTCCTATGGGTTTTGGAACTGCAAGGATAATATTGCTGTTCTGTGAGTTACCATTCGGATTCTGAAGACAGGAAGTGTTGTTGTGCAGCTAGCACCAACAGAAGCAGCCGGGCTGTGTGCCCCCGATAAACAACAGAAGCCCCCTCATAACAAGATGGATGCCATGGAACAATTCTTTGACAAAACCAACATATCAGGTTGTTTTTGTTACACGGTGTCATAACTTTCTGTCAGAACGGTTGTGTCCCTGTCCCAGAATCCGGTTGTATGATGCATTTAAGAAAAAAAATACACACACATAAGACCTGATAGCTGCTGTTTAGCAAGAGTCAAAGAACTGGTAAGACTGTTACAAATGAGAAAATATATTGGTAAATTTTTAGTGGTGGGAACTTTTTAAAATTGTTCATAAAAACGGGGTGGCCTTGTAGTTTAAAAACAACAACAACACCTATTTCTTAAGCTCTGAATTTTGTTTTCAGCAGAATTGTATTTGAGAATGTATGTAACATGTTATGTTTTCTTTTCGTTTTTAGTTTTTTTAAAATGGTAAAATGTACACTGTGTAAACACACCTAAAAAGCTCATAAGCTTTAACCTTAAAGTGGTATAATCTTGCCTAAATGGCTACGGTTACACCAAAGAGGTACATTACCAAGAACTCTTACAGTAGTTTGGGGTGGGGAAAAATCTGCATGCTACTTGTGGTTTAAGGTTTTAAAACAGCAACAAAATTCAACATGCATTTGCATGGTAATGGTACCTGTGAAATGTTATGTTTGTGCTTCATTTTGCCAAGAAAAAAATTGCAATGTTAGTTCTTTGTCAAACCAGATTTGTGAAAATACCATTATTTCAGGGTTTTGTTTTCTGGGTGTGCACAATTTCCACAGGGAAGAGTTTTTTAAATATGATGATTTCTAATTATTATATGAGAGAGGTCGTTGATGGGTTGCTGTTCAAGGGAAATGCTGGTATTTTGCTACTGGGCAGAGGTTAAGATTAAGATGATTTATTTTAATTATATATTGGATATGTACTATAGAATGATTTCTTGCCGTAAATTGAGAATGTGTAGAGTATATGCTTATGGAGGTCTGTAACAGGCTTCAAGCTATTTAGCAACATATTTTTAGCAAGACAAACATATAAAGTGCCACACTTATTCTTGACCATTTATGTTTGATCAAACAGTTTTAGGTGAGGAATTGCAGTAAAGATTTATCAGAATTGATTCCATGCTACCTTTTCCTTGGCAAAACTGTATTGGTTTGCTGGCCTCCTTGACAAAATTCTGGCCAGATCACAGTATTTCAAAAACAGCATAAAGTAAACCCTAGGTCTTTTATAAGGTGCTACATCACACTGATATATTTTTAAATGTTCAGGGTTTTTTTAAATTACACAACAGAAGAAGAAGTTGTTCTTTAGCTCTGTACTGCAGATTCCCTAAATTGTTTTAACCCGAGTCCTACAACAATACTGCAAATTGTTTAAATTACCCCTGTTACAGAGACAATAGCATGGCAACTTAATAATGAAGGGTTTTTTTCTTTTTGCACCTGATCATATCATCTAAGATTGTAGTGTAGAATGTATCTGTAATGGCAACTGGCCTTTCTGTGAATGTTGCAGAGCTTACAGGGGAAAGAGGCTGACTGAGGTTATCGCTGCTCCTCCTGGTGCTTCCACTATATTTGCTGTGCTTCCTTGGACGCTGACAACAGTGGTACCCAAATGAACTTGTAACACATCTGAGAGCCTCATGTCAGTTAATTGCCAAGCTGCCAAACAGTAAAGTGTTGGTCGACAATGCTGCAGAAAAGGCTGTGGTCATTTTCACAAGTGACACCAGGAATCTGAAATGTAATCATTTGTGGGATAGAAAGCGGGCCATTTTAAACCGAGTGCACATTCTCTTAATTGTAACTGTGCAAGTTTCACAATCAAAAACCAGTTTCAAACAGCACTTGTGAAAAGTGGCCCAAGGCCTGTGTAACTATGTCCATGTTAGAAGGACTAGCCTGTGAGTACCAAGCTGAAAAATAAGTGTACATATGGGTCCCATTAATAAGAGTTTGACTAATTGTTTAGAGGCTACTGCTCAACAGTAGGATTGTAAACGGCAGCTTACATGAATGTTGATCCCTTCCATCAGCTTCACATTTTGATTTTGTGTAGCTCTCCAAATTTTTCCCATGTTGTTCCTCCACTGAGGACAGAATGGGAAAATGTCTGATTTCCCTCAGACTGTTGGCTGTACAGGTCATACAACAGAGCTGAATGGAATTTAATCTGGATAAATTAATATACATCCCCCACTCCCACCAATGAATTGCATCCACAGCATTTTTTAAAAATAAAGGATATTGAAGGGAGATGATTCCTCAGAAGGGATGCATTTCAATGTCTAGTCCCCAGACAAGAGGACATCAACACAGTTAGGAAGGTACTGTCATCCATCCTAAACAAAACACACTCAGCAACAAAGTGTGCTCTTTGTTTGGGCTAAATGACAGTACCTTATTAACTGTGAATCAAGAAAGCTGTTTGTAGGCAGACACAGAATAAGGGGAGCCAATACCATTCGTTGGGATAATCAAAGGACCAACTTTTAAATTTTTTACATTGGTTAATTATTGGGGATATTTATTAGCTAATACAGTAGAGTTTCCCCAGTTTTAGAAGTGCTATATTGCATGTAGTAAATAAACATCCAAGAAGTATATTGCAAAAGGTAAAACATTTATTATGGTGGATTCAGATCACATTCAGGTTGCAGTTGAAAGGAGAGAAAGAATCCTAATCTCAAGAATACTGTTTCCTGTCACAAGTGGCCAGCGGACCCAGTGGCACATATGTGCAAGTAAGAGGACATTGCTTCTACAGGAGAGACCTGTAGATCAGTCTTGACTCCATGAAGAGCCATGACAATACTGGTATAAAACAAAGGACACACAGAGAGAGGAGGTCTCAGAGAGAAGCTCCCAGGTTGAGAAAAAAGAGAGGCGTCTCATTGAGGAAATAACACATATACACATCTAGAGCAATGTAGCAGTCCCCCCCCCCCCCAGTGTCCAGGCATGCTGAGTTTCATTACTCCAGCAATACGGATCTGTTGTGGCCAAGGGCATAGGACACATACCATACCTGTTTTGCAGGCCAGGCATTTGATGGGATGCAGAAGAGTCAGGCCTCCTCTGTCTGCTCGTCTATGATTTCTGGCCAAAGTCACCCTGGCTCCAAGATTGGGGCTATCTAGTTGTGTTCTGCCCAGGCACTTTGCCAAGTATTTTCTAGTGTGTCCTCTTAGCTGTGAGTTCCTGCCCTGGCTCTGTGAAGGTACAAATGCCCCAGGATTCTGAACATAAGAGAAGCGAATGTTGGATCAGGCCAATGGCCTATCCAGTCCAACACTCTGTCACACAGTGGCCAAAAATACCAGGTGTCATCAGGAGGTCCAGCAGTGGGGCCAGGACACTAGAAGCCCTCCCACTGTTGCCCCCCCCAAGCACCAAGAATACAGAGCATCACTTGCCCCAGACCAAGAGTTCCTATCTATACCTTGTGACTAATACTACTGATGGACCTCTTCTCCATATGATTATCTAATTCCCTCTTGAAGCCATCCATGTTTGTAGCCGCTGCCACCTCCTGTGGCAGTGAATTCCATGTGTTAATCACTCTTTGGGTGAAGAAGCCACGAGTTCTTGTACTGTGAGAAAGGGAGAAAAGTACTTCTTTCTCAACTTGCTCTATCCCATGCATAGTCTTGTAAACCTCAACCATGTCACCCCTCAGTTGTCGTTTCTCCAAGCTAAAGAGCCCCAAGCACTTTAACCTTTCTTTATAGGGAAAGTGTTCCAACCCTTTTGTTCTGGACTGAGGGTGTCCCCTTCACTCTATTAACAAATGCCTCAAGGTGTTTTCCTGAGCTTTTTATGTATCACTCAACCAACTTTACCTGCACTCCTATCACCACTGGGGAGGTCAGCTCTCTGCTTGGTCCCACACCATCCTACCTGTCCTTTGATGGTTTCCATCAGGCCCCACTGCAGATCCCCCAGGAATATATAACCATCATGCCAAAGGTGCATGCCGTCACCCCTGTACAGGAGCGACAGAGAATCCTTGATGGCTGGGTGAGCAAGATAAACCCCACCTGCTGAAAGAACCCCATGTCTTCCTTCACTGTTCACCTTGGCACAGGTCCTGACAAATCAGCCTTGGGTGTGAGGCATGCTTCCATACCCTCCACTGAAGCATGCCTGACAACATCAACAGGCCACAAGACCCTCAGGTATTACATGGCAGCTAGGGCCTGGAAACTTATGGACTTCTCTGTGTATTTGCCAAGGTCATTCTCACACAGGTGAAATTTATTTATTTATAACACGGTATGGGGGAGGTTGTCAGGTGTTGATGGAGAACTAGCATCAGCTGGTCCCACGGCGTGCCTCTTCTCCCAAGCCACATGATCTGGGCCAGATAGCTCATGCCCAACTAAACCAAAGCTTCCACTAGAAGCCTTACAATGACAACTTGCTTCTGTACACCTTACCCTGCCACAGCTGGAAAGATGGTTAGCTATGATGCTGTATAACCTCCCTGACACATGGCACCCTGTGCCTATAGCTGACATACAGACTACAGCAGCCTGACGTAGTTCTGGAAAGCCTGCAAACTCTACCCTGCCAATTGCCCTGATCTTATGACTCTCACCACCTAGGGGAAGCTGCCATAGAGGCTGCTCTGATGTGGAAGAAGTATGTCCCAAAGAGGAGGGGAGGAAACCCAGTTTAGATAACAACAGCCCAGAACTGATATTT